TTTGCTTCTCCTTTGAATTTTGTCAGTTACTAAAAAAGGAAATTTTTAAGCGATACAAATTTTTGGAGAAAGAGTTTAAAATTTTTTATTTTTGTAAAATTGTATATTCACTAGATATAAATAAAATTTAGTAATATTTTTTACTATTTTAAAATATTTTAAAAAATATTTTTGTTTTAAAAAAATTTATCATATTGGAATTATTAGTTACTAAATTTAATTTTATTGGATAAGTTTTTTTAAGATGTTTTATAAAATTAGAATACTACTTCTACTATATATATATACTGTTCTACAATATTTACAAGTAGTCTTTTTGTTATTTTTAAAGTTTGAACTTTTTATAAAATATTCTTATGCTTTATTTCTAGAAATTATTGAAGTAATTGAAGTAGTTTTTGATAAATATCTTATATTAATATTGTTGTTGTCATTTTTATTATGATTTATTAAACTATTATCTTCTTTATACAAGTATTGTATATATTTGAATAAATTGTTATGTTTCATTTTTAAATTGTCAGAAAACAAGCTGTATTAATTAAAGCAATTAAATATAAAGCTATAATATTAAAATAATTTTTTTAAAAAAAAACATTTTAAAAATATTAAAAAATTATTTTGAACAAATATTAAAATTTTTTAATATAACCTTTTATACATTAATTTCAAATTGCAGGATTTTCATTTTAATTTTTTAGTTAGTTCTATTTAAATAAAATTAAATAGTTATTTAATAATTTAGATAGACTAAGCTATATCTAATCCAAATTTGATTCATATCTGATCAGATTTAAAAATTTAAAAATTGATTCAATTCAAATTCAATTAATTTAAAATTTTAAAATTTGATTTGATCTGATTTGTATTTGTAGATCATTCAAATTTGGATAAAACCTGTAATTCCTAGTTATAGGTAATAAAAATATAAGCAAAAATCATTAAGTCAAGTGCATTTAGTGAGAGCTATATAATATTAAATTGGAATTTAAGCAAAAATATTAGTTTTACAGATAGTGAAAATGGTAGTTGCTGTATTATAATAGTGACATATTTTGAGAATCAGTAATAATAGGCAATTGATATAACTGGAGTTAATTTTTATAATAATATCACATATGATTTTTTCCTAGCAAGCAATTGAAAAATATGATTGAACCAATAAAAAAGACAGGTTTAAACTAGTAGTAGGATTTCTTTCCTCCTGTATAAGTCTTATCTGAATGTGGACCTATCTATAAAATGTAAGTTAATTAATCAGAATAGTCAGGTTGGCTTAAGAGGAACTGGTAGTATTGGAAACAGTACTAATTAGGTAGTATTAATTTATATCTAGAATAGCAATAGCCTAGTTTGGAAAGATGTTTGATGTAATGGTAGAATATAAATTATCAATAAAAGTCTTATATCTTATGCCCTTGACCAATAAAAAAAATAAAATAATAATTTTTTAAAAAATTTATTGTAATTTATTTTTGAATTAAAATTTTCAATAATACCTGTAACTTTAAAACAGAGTATATCAAAAAATAATTTTTATTATTTTAAAAATATTTAATTAAGATATAATAATTATTATTTTTGCACCATACTGTATATTTTACAAATTTCTATTTTGATGATATCAAATAATTTGAATGCAATATATCAAGACACAACTTTCTGACCTTTATATACTGTATGTATTCAACTTTATTTCCGAGAAAAGGATTTGCCAAGATATTATTAGTTTTACCCGATCCATTATTTCCAATAACTAGCATAGAGAAAGGCTCGCAGGATAAAACTGAATTTGGGATGGTTCGTGCTTTGTGAACTCATATATACCCATAAGGTAAAGTTTCGTAGGTAAAAATTATTTCTTCTGTGTATCGAATTGGGTATCTATAACTATGATTTCTATTTAAGGGTACCTTATGATTCGAAAGATTGTTTTCTTCATTGTAAATACAGATGCAAGGGTATGAACCATAGGAAGTTATACAGTATGATTAGCAATACAGTACTGTAATATACTGTATATTTTACGTAGATCTACTGCATGATCTGAACGACGTCATACTAATCTTTGCCATTGATGCAGTATCATCATTGATAACCGATAATCGGTTCCATTTAAGGTCAAATTAAAATTGGATTGAAATTTAAACAAAGAGATTAAACAAAATTTTATAAACTAGAAAGCAGGAACTGTTGTTAAGTCTGGGGTCAAAAATTTAACATACAGTAGGATTGGGGATCACGTATGTGTGATATACTGTATGCGAAAATCACTAAATACAGGGTCTCGTGTAATGTTAAAGATAGATAGAAATGAATTATTTGTATTACACTAAATACAGGGGTGGGCAGATGGACATTTTTATCAAAATTGTATGAAATACAGTATATAGTCCTCCACTATGCTCCGGATTAAATAAAATTGATTCCAACCTCAATTTAATTATTCACATTTTATATACTTTGAAATAAATAGGGGCACAATGAAGCTTACATAAATGTAAATCAATACTACTATACAAGGTCAAATTCGAAACATGGATTTTTGAAATTGTAGCCACTATAAACAAAGGCTATGTTTTGTTTATTATACAACTAAAACTAATCGACCACCTGATTATTTGATCAAAACATACGGTATGTAAACAATACAACACTAATAATTACATCTATTATAATAGTAATTATTTTATATCACCATATTGATTGCAACGAATGTTGAATAATCATATACGTTATTGTTGATGATTCTATATTCTTTATAAGGCATACAAAGTCCATTTTTGTATGTTCGAACAAGATAATGTCACCAACAAAGTACCGTGAAGCACAAAATATCAGAAAAACACAAAAAATTTTTTCAAGAATGAATAAATAAAAAAAGAAAGTTTCGGTACACAAGGGTTAGCTTAGAGAAACAGTAATATGACCTTGATGGATAATGCAAGTACCTCAGGTAGAAATAACTGATTTACATTCATTTGGAAAAATCATATCGAGGAAATATTGAGAAGGTCGTGGTTACCAGGAAGGATCGGTTCTGCAGATTTGTCTAATGGAAAATCAATCGTGATACTCGGTTCAGACGTCAACATTGATGACACTGAATTAAGTGGGTTTACCGAGAACCCATTATCAATGCTTACTATCTTCATGGCATGACACAATGGGCTGGAAACCGAAAATGAAAATGAGAGATAAAAACACAAAAGGTAAGGATTTCCCAACGCACGAAGAAAGAGAAAAGCTAAGAAAGTGAATGGGAACTACTGTATAATATGGATGTACAACAAAGTTCTTAATATGGTGCAGGACGATGTAATCACTGACATAAGTATCATATTAAAGAATTGCCTGAACGATGAGTGCTTCACATCTCAAGAATTTTTCTGGGTAAAAAGAGATACCTAGAGAAGGTTAACGGTGATTTTAAAGAAGCGATTAAATTATCTAATAAATATGACCGATAGAGATCTTTTTTTGACCATGCTTCAGATTTCGGATGTTCTTACATAATATACCGAGAAAGTTCAAAGATTGTAAGGTTATTGAATGCACCGAAGAGTATACTGTACATCAAAGACGTACGAGAATTATGATTCGTAAAAAATGATCTCGGTGGATCAAAAACGTCTAATTGTGATTTGTGCGATGTGAAAATGGATCGGGACGCGAATAGTGCCCGAAATATCTTGCTCAAATATTTAACGGAGGATCAGGTTTGGGTCTGACTTTAGGACTTGAACCTATATGGAATATGATATGTATAGTAAGTACTAACTTTATTTATTCATATTGGATCCAATTTCAAGGGTAGAAAAAAAAGTATTTAAACTATTACATATTGATATTGGCATTCTTTATGTAGCTTAAATAGTAATATGCAGGAAAATTCTTGTCATTGATAGAGCGTGTAATATGTAATAATATTAAAAATACAATGAAATTTATACATGTTTATAATACCTATTGAAGGTGTTATGGTGGTTAATCAAAGAGTTTTAAATGTGTAAATAATATTAAAAATACAAATAAATTAATATAATACGTGTTTGTAATACCTATTGAAATGTTATGGTAACTAAAGAATTTAAATATTCTGTATAATTACGTAAAATGAATAAATATATAATATATATCCGCCTTCTTCGCGTAGTTGTTTTTTTTTTGACAAATAACACCTGTCGTCTAAAACTTTTAAATCTTATAATAATTATGACAAGCTCAAATTCTTGGACTGAAAAAATGAGTATCGCTAAGGAAAAGGCCTACTTGTCGGTAGACATTAACAGTGATCTATCACAACAACTCGAATTTTATAAAAAAGCATATAAGAAAGACAAGTCCCTAACTATAACAGAAAAAAATTACATGATTGATGATGTTAGAAAATACTATAACAAATTAAAAGTTTCTCAACGACTAAGCGAGCCTCGAGAATGCGATTATTGTAAAAGATTGAGATATGACGTTCCGAAATGCGAACTCTGCGTCAGAGATTACTTGAAAAATAACTTTGGAAAATGGACTTCGGGAAATACAGAAATCGATAAGTTGATTCAATATTGTCAATTTGAAATTTCCGTTTCAAGCTACGTTATTGAATGGATAGAATATGAGAAATTCAAAAACGTGCAGTATAAGACAAAAGGTGGCTTTGGTAAAATTTTCACGGCGACATGGATAGATGGAAGATATGCTGCATGGAACGCCAAAAAACGTTTATTGACAAGATTCGGACCTCACGACGTAATATTAAAGAGGTTAAACGATTCCGCAAATATCAACGATGATTGGTACCAAGAGGTCAGCAGAATTTCATATAATATTAATATTATTATTGTTGTTTCTTATTCATACAGTGTTTAAGCACTTAGAAACTAATTAATGCATCTGTTACATTAGGCAAAGACTCATCTAACTTTTGATGTTATTGGAAATTATCTTGTGAGATGCTACGGATTGACGAGAGATCCAGAAACATTTGATTACATGCTTGTTCTTTTTCCTTACGATTGCGATCTCAGACAATATTTATTTGAAAATAGTTCATCACTCAGTTTGAATCAAAAATATTATATAATCAGAAGGTTATGCTACAGTTTGCATGAAATTCACAAACGGGATGTAGTGCATAAAGATCTTCACTCTGGAAATATTTTGTTTAGAAAAAGATATAACGAATGGAAGATAAGTGATTTAGGCTTTTGCTGACCATTGACAGAGAAACCAGGAAAAATCTTCGGTCAACCTCCATATATTGCACCGGAAGTGGTATGCGGCAAAGGTTACACCACAAAATCCGATATTTACAGCCTAGGAATATTGATATGGGAAATTTTAACCTGCAAAACTCCATATGGTGAAGAAAAAAAAGACGATAGAGACCTTTTGTTTGAGATAGCCTTAGGAGGACTTAGGCCTGAGATCCCTGAAAACATTCCATTTGGATGTGTGAAATTAATACAGCAGTGTTGGGACGCAAAACCTGAAAATCGACCTGACGCATCCATAATTTTTCAAGAGATTGGAAGATTGCATAATCAAAGAAGATCAAAAATAAAAATTATTATTGCAAAGGTTAAAAAGTTTTATGGAAAAATATTATCAAAAAAAAAACAAAAGCCACGATGTCGAAGAAAGAGAGTCGAATGACGTAAAAGTAAGTCCAGTGAGCAAGTTATATGACACTATATCACAATCTTCAGGTAGAACAAATTACAATTGTTTTTCCAATGTTATGTTTATCCTGAATTTAACTTCAATTTATTTTGAATTGGGAATATCTAGAAATTGATCCCAGTCAATATGACTTGGTGATTTCCGATTGTATGTATCATACTATTAAATTAAAATTATTGCTTGATTGAATTTTTGTTGAATATTAAGTAATAATCATGGAATTGTTATTTTAGAATCGGGATGATTTAATAATAACAGTCAATTTTTAATTCCCACCAAGAAATGTAACCGCTATAAAAGCAGATGAATAGATGTTATGTACGGCTTCAAGACAAAAATTTCTAGCCTTAAATTATTCTGACGAATAGGAACTTTAAATCTTGGAATCATGTTCAAAAATAAAAGTATAATTTATTTTCATCACCTTGATGTATGCAACATCATCATACACATAGTAAATACAGTATATGTGTGAAGTATTTGTTTATTACATTGCACAATAAATATCTATTTTGTTTACTTTGATTTGTATCAACCTTTTAAACAAAATAAACGGCGAATACTGTATATTAATATAAATATTAATTGTAGTTTAAAAAATGGCATTTGAAATTTATCACAATTTCCGAGTGAAGTAAACAAATTGAAAATCATGACTCGACCTGTTTTTATTGATTTGGCAAACTTATGGCCACAAGAAACATTACACTTAGCGTAATACGCCGGCTAGGCCTGCCTGTTTCTATGGTTTGTGTAACGATAGCCGATCAGGCAATATAATTTATTACAATGTTTGAGCTTTGCGAAGGACATTGGAAAATGGATGAGTGAGGTACAGTAAGTAAAATGAAGATCGGGTGACTTGACCTGTTTTATTGATTCGTTCTTGCCAACATGTGATGCATAATTATTATATCATAGGCTAAAACTAGTCCAAATTAGATTATTTGGCTGCCAAATTATAGCCAATTAAATTCAAATTTATTAATAAAAGTTTATACCAAAGTTTTGTTGTTTGGTTCAATTTATGCCATTCGACATTTAAAAAATACACAATAATTTAGCAAAAAAAAAAAAATAGAACATTTGGCCAAAAAAATAATCATTTTGCAATAAAATCATTGGACAATAAAATCATTTGAAAATAAAATAATTCAACAATAAAATTATTTGGGAATAAAAGCATTAGGCAATAAAATCATTCAGCAAAAAAATATTTTAATTAAAAAATATTTGACAATAAAGTTACAACATTCTCTAATAAAAATTATAGTATTTGAAATAAATTTTTATTATTTAACTATAAAGTTACAACATTCTCAAATAAAAATTATAGTATTTAAAAAAAACTCTTTCCGTAAAACTATCAGTTTCTAAAAAATTGACTTTTTTGGTAATTTTAAGAACACCTTCACACAAACAATTCTCTAGCACAAGAAACCCATAAACAATTCAAGAAACCTTAACTAAAAGAACAAGTGCAACTGTCCAGAAAGATAAATTTACCTTGCAGAGCAACTTTGCTTGATTTCTTTTTCTTCAAAGAAACAAACTTTTAAAAGAAAGGGAAAAGCACAAGTTTTACAATTCACAGTAAGCTTCTAGAAAAGTCAACATCAACCCTCCTAGCTTCTAGCCAGTCGTGTACAAGATTTTGCACCTCCCTAAATACTAGAAAAATCTTGGCCAGCCAGATTTCACCTGATAAATTAAGCAACCTAGACACCAGACAAGAACAAGGGAACACCAGACTTTTTCAAGAGAATCCAAGAAAAAGGACTCAACAATAACAAACAACAACAATCTCAATATTATCAACAACTCAAGTCGCATGAATAATTTTTCTAACCTAAGGAAAAACCAGATCCAGCTTATCTCCAGCAAGTGATCAACATCACAACATGTGTACTTAACATGTCAAATATATCAAAACATATTCAACAAAAAATTATAACATGTCAACAATATAGACACGTCTATTATACAAACAACAAACCAGATAAACGTGCCAGAAATAAACACATTGTTAGCACAACACACCAAATATATCAATACGACAACAACAGTCTCCACATATCAAACACGTACACAAACAAACATAATCACCATAACAACAATACTTAACATCAACCATGTAACATATAACTTTAATAATTATGGCTAAGCAGAATCCAGGTCTATCCTCAAATATGGAAAGCTGGCCACCAGTAATATTATCCAATACAAACAACAAGAATGTTTTCCTAGATATTATTCTTATAGACAGAACCTGACACCAAGTAGCCATAATCTATCAGAACGAAAATAAAGAAGTCATAATTACAGAACCTTCCAGAACATCAACAATTCCTTTACTTAACAACTATCCTACCAAGTGGCTTATCCCAACTACAAACGTCATCAGGCCAGACTTCCCAAGCCTCTCAATCTTTCAGATTGAATTTTTAATTGCAGAAAATCCAAGCAACCTCGTGACACAAGTCTCAATTCTTGTGGACAAATCTCTTCAACAGCTTGACTAATTTCTAGACTTTCATAACTTTCTTTAAGAGATTTTTGCAAGAAACGGCCAGCTTAAAAATGAAGTTTTTCAAGCAGTTCTAGCAAAAGGATGGAACTATTCCAAGTATATTCCCTAGAATATGATCCAAATCAGCAAAAACTTGAAAAAAAAAACATTTACTCTTATAACAACATATCACTAGAAAAAACCAATCAGCTACCATTTACATCACAAACTCCAAACATTGAAAGAAGTGTTTTGCTTCTTAAAGAAGAAGAAGAATCTCAAAATGATCCAATAAACAAGACAATCGCCAATCAGAATTCTCAAATAACCTCAGATCCCAACCAATCAGAAGTTCTGCAGTCGAACTTACCAAATATATTCACCAATCAATCTCAACTATCTGTACAAGATATATACAAAAATGATCACTCAATGTCTATCAATCTAGATTTTCCCATCCCAGAAGACTTAGAAATAGGCAACATTCTAAATTTATACATTTATCAAGAGAAAAAGGGCAAAGCCAATACTTCTCTACCAAACAATCTTGACATCTCCTCTATAACCATAACCTCACAACAACACACCAATCCAGTCTTTCTTCAATCTCATCTTCTTTCACCAATTCGTGCTAAGACTCTTACACATAGACAAAGAAATGCATACTTAAGCCTGACAAACAAAGGTGACAACAAAAGAAAATAGAAACAGACACCAAGAGACTATAGGCATATGAAGAAGACCTAATATTGAAGGACTCTGGAATTGAAGAATACGATATAACAATCAATACCAAAAATGTGGATGAAGAAAATCTCAATATTCCTAACGAACTTATCACGGAACACTACAGCATCATCCATTGGGCCTCAAGATTCTCTTCCATAAGAACTGATCCAGATAAATTGATCAAACTTTTATTAGAGATTAACAGACATCCAAGAGAAAGAGTTAGACAAAAACCCTATTTAGCTATCTTTATCAAATTCGAAGCAAGAGATAAAACTTCTTTAACTTCAGTAAGATAGCAGATCTCAAAGATAGTCATCAGAAAGAATATGAAAAACTCGAAGGTAGATTCCAAAAAATTTACTAAACAAAATACAAAGTGGTAAAACTTAACAGAGAAGTTAGATCCAAGATCAGACTCCTCCTAAATGCTAGCCTCTTTATTGCCTACTTAAGATATATCAATATCTTCGATCTCAATCCACATCTTTTAATACAAATCATGGAATATGGATGCAACTTTTTGTGTCAGTCCAATAATAGTAACAAACTAGTCTATTACGACTTGTTACAAAAGAATAGAAAAATGTTTAAAGACAACCTACCAGAACTACCTCTCTCTCCAAACTTGGTCCCAGCACAAATAAAAGTCAAGATACTATACAAAATTCCAATTGTGGACAGAAGCACCACAGTGAGCATAACAGGCTTTCTCCATACTTACTACAAATTTAACTTTCTTCCAGACTCATACTTTTCAATACTTCCTGACTTACCTGACAAACCAAATAACCTTTCTAGAAAAGTGGCATATATCTTTCCAATCAAAAAAAGAAAAGACCTTAGAAATTTAGGTGACATGATCAGGGAACTCAGAAGGTTCTTTACAATCCCACCCAAAATTTCATCCACTTACTTTAATTTCCCTTCCTACTTCTCATGACAAACTAGAACCTAAGTTCACACATCTCTTCTCACTTGACACATCTATTCACAATATCAAAGAAGTTGTTAGAAACCTTAGAACCAGATATTTCTTTGAACAACTTCTCTCTAACTTTTTCAAGTACAAAAACCTTCTTCCAACATTTCCATCAATCATCAACAAATACGAACTCAAACTAGAAATTCAAATTCCTATCACAAATTATCATGACACACAATTCTTAATTAAAAATCTTAGAGACGACTACCGGTTTTCCTTGCCTCTTGGACCACACTGGGTTGATCCACAAATATTCCAAACTAACAAATCCAAACTTCCATCAAAACTGAAGAATATTGATCCAAGCCTGAATATCAACCATCTATCATATAGTGATTTAGACTTTAAAAAAAAAATTAAAAGTCTACATAACCATTATAAATTTCAGAGAATTCCAGAAAGTTGGTTTATCAACCCTCACATCAATCTACCAAAAAACCCTAAAAAAATTAACAGAATTCTAAAAGACAAAAGCCTAATGCCAATCGAGTTTTCTTTGATTGACAATAACTCTCTTCCAACTCACATATATCAACTACGTCAAATCTTTTACTTCTCTAAACTCCCTGAATCTCTTATTATTAAAGAGACACGCTCTGAACCGGAGTTTGATCTCATCCCCTTCTTAGTCTAATCCTATAATAAGTACAAATAATAATAACTCTGAAACAGTTATTCTAACCATTACTTCATCCTATATATCAATTCCCATATCCAAACAACATCACTTATTTCATCCAATCACGACAA